TCCTAACTAACTATTATTTATGATTCATTTGGAAATGTTTACTTATGTCCCAAGGACCCTCACTAAGTCCTTGGGCACTACTTAATTTACATGATCATTTTAAATGATCATGTGCTGTGGTACGAGGCTTCACACTTGGTTGCTTAGTACTTTGTGCAAATACTAGAAAATATATGTTTTAGCTTAGGGTATTCATTTCAGGTACTTTTTTTAAACAAGCTCATTAATGTTAGAAAATTTGCTAACACCCTTTAACTCAATATTTTCTAATATGTTCAATATTTTGCTTATTTTGTTATTATATAAAAATTGAATAATACCCCTTAGCCAATTTTCTATATGATGCCCAATATTTCTCAATATTGGTCATTACGATGCCTATGTACCCCAATACCCATTCTTAAAGACCTTTTAGGTTCTTCCTTAGACATATAATTTTTTCGGAATGTTACAGTATTGGTTAAGAGACTAAATATTAAAAGGTACTAAATATATTAAAAATTAAAAGAATTGTAACAATTGTAAATATATAGAATCACGTTTTGTGAGACACATCAATTTGTGATTTTGAAAGAATGATAAATAATAATTGTGTATTATATGCATAATATATCTTTTGACAAATTTGTATCAGCTTATAATATAGTATCAAGTGAAGTCATTTGTACCAAATTTATCAGAGGCATATTGTAATGTACTAATATATTGAAAATTGACTGATTTGTATGAAGTTTAAAAATATAATATCATGTTTTGTGATATCTACAAATTTGTTATATGTAAAATAATCGTGTATGATATACATAATAATTTTTTGAAAAATCTTGTGTCCGCTAAAAATATAGTATGAACTATATTGATGGGTATTATACTTATAAGATACAAAATTTAAAATCATATTATATTTTATAAAAAAAATGAAAAGTTAAATAAATAATTTTCAACATAAAAATTCTTCACATTGAGAGGTAGTATCTTCAAAAGGAAACAATTACTCGAAAATACTAATAAATGTATCTTACGAAAAAATAGATCAATCCTAGAAGATCATCTCCTGCTTGTGAAGTGTAGAGACTGTTCGGCCTTGTAGGATCATCAGTCTCACTAACATATTTCGTCTTGACCTTTTTAAAACAATACTTTCATAACAGTGTTGCATATCTTGTGCGAAGATAGTCATCTAGAAAATCTTTATATGGGATGTAGATTCAATCGATCAGATATTCAACAAAAATAACAAAAAAATGCTTCACAATCACTTGAAAAAAAGAAGATACATTTGAGAAACAGATCAAATGTGTTAAGAGAAACATATCAAATGTGTAAGTAGAGAAAAATTTATTCAATAGTTATAGACTGTCACTTTCTTGTTGAATAATATCTTGAACAAATTTCACCTCAAACGAATGTTGTAGATCCAATAGTTCAACAATGGAATTTATATATTTTTTTAAAAAAATACTAAAATACATGATTTAAAATAGATACCCTGAATAGTGTAGGTTGAGATATCACGTGCAACCTTTCTACCTCTTTTTTCGTTGTTTTTCAACCTTTTTTTCCGATGATGTAGGTACTTTCTTTTTTGCTTTTGCCTTCTCTAAAATTTGATTTGTCATTGTTAAAGGATCCTGTAACCTTTTAGATCTGTTTTTTTTGTCCATTGAATTATCAAAAATAAAATATTCGATAAATATTAGGTGTAACTATTTGGGCAATTTCAATACTAAATGAAAGAGCATTCATATGTATTAGACAAACTGATGAACAAGCAAAAAGAAAGAAGAAAATTGAAGAAGATGAAAGTACCTACATATTCTAAATTAGTTAATTGGAGAGAAAAATCTCTTGAAATTTAAATTTTTGTTAATGTGATAACTGAATTGATTATGTGAGTGAAAAGAAGAAGTAAATATAGGAGTTAGAAATGTGAGTCTGGAGTGAAAATGAAATAATGTATGTGACAGTTGGGTCTTGAGGGAAAAGAAGAAATTTTCGTATTATTTTAAAATGGTTGGGAATATTGAGATTATTGTAACTAACGATGTATACTTTGGTAATTTTTCCTTAAAAGTAGGAAAATAATCATATAAATCGAGATAAAAATAACATATATTTAGCGCTTAGAATCATTCAAAGAATTCTCGGATTTGTCCTTCCACTCCAATTTCCTCTATCTATATTCAGCACCTTTCTCCGTTTTAACTATGTCTTGCTTTCCTTTTAATTATGCTATATGTTTGTATTTAAAAATTACAAAAAAAAACAGTATAAATCACAATAACAATAGAAAATATTGAAAGAAATGTATTAATATTTCTGTTTACACGTGCTCACATAAATTGATAAATGGACATTGATATATATTATTTAAAAGTTATATAAAATATACTATCAATTAAAATAATTCAAAGTTCAAAATATTTAAATTGAGATAAACAAGCAACATATACAAACTGAACCTGTATTGATATGGACTATTGACTCTAGTATAAATACATGACACAAATTAAACAAGTATATAATATATTTAAAATAATATCAAATAAACAATTTTACTATGTAACAACAGATTATCCGTACTCTACTCATTAAAATGTTTAGCCGCGATATTAAAGAATATGTTAACAACAGTTTGGTATACTTCCTTCGTCTAATAATAGTTGTTCATTATATTAAAAAAAATATCTAACAGTATTTGTCCAACTTATAAAATGTTATAATGCATAAATATGTCGTTTAACTTGATCTCATTTCACATTTACACTGTCCAATTTTGAGTGTGCACAAGTATACACTTAAACTTGTATAAAGTTGGACAAGTAGACGCATGAGTCTTATGTAACATAATACATACCTGACATCACATAGGATGTAAATTGTCATGTAGGAAGTCATGTAGGACGTGTGTGTCTATTTGTTCAATTTAATAAAAGTTTATGTGTCTACTTGTGCATACTTAAAGTTTGAGGGCATAAATGTAAAATGAAGAAAAGTTAAAGGGCATATTTATGTATTATTCCTTGTGAAATCTATGGATAATTTTACATGTAGATCTCAATTTACCCTTATCATTAATTATAGTCATTTCCCTATTTCATATTTCAAGATATTATATCTGTTATATTCCAAAGGTGATATAGTAAAATTATCATTCTATTTATAGTTTCTTAAAGTTGTGTCAACTAGACTATGATTGGACAGAGGAAGCAAATCCAAAATAATGGACCCAACTGATTTTGATCATGACATGAAATAATGAACAATATTTAATTTGTTACGCGAAAATTATGTATTTTAAACTTTAAAATTTTATTTAATCTAATTTTCAATGTACCAACAAAAAAAACTGACACAACATTCTTGGAATAGTTAATAAAACCTTGGATTTGATTTTAAAAAATAAGTGATTATTAATCAGATGTGTATGAATTGTTCATGGCTTCCCATGATCTCAAGACAATAGTGGAATAGCATTAAGCAAAAAATGAGAAAATCAAGATGAGATCAAAATTATCAAATCGTCTTCTACATTATGTTATATAGACTCCTAATACCTCCATTGTAAAACACACAAGAAAAAGAAAAACAAACTAATATCTAGCCTTAGAATCCAATTCTTCTCAATGGGATGCCAATTGAAGAAGCAATTTGGTGCTTTGGCATTTTTCTTTATTGCAACATGCACTATGCCATACTCACCTTATTCTTATGAATCAACATATTCAACATACAACAAAGCACCAACCACAATTGCTAAAAGTGAAGGCTATAAGGTACCCTCAATGCATGAAAATGAATATAAGGCGTTGACATTTTTATCAAAGAATGATTACGACTAAAAGACATTAGTTTCAGAAAATAATGAAAAGAAAGTACTTTCGGTTTCATAATAGGGAGATAAGATACCTTCAGTGCCTAAATCGTAATACAACATGTCATCTTTTCCCAAAAATGAATATTTCAATAAGCCATCAATTCAAAAAGATAGTTACAAGAAGGTGACATATGTTCCTAGAAGGTGTCATATGTTCCTGCAGCAGAATACAAGGAGTCATTTTTGCCAAAATTTGACTACTTTCAAAAGCCATCCGTCATGAAAGATAACTATGAAAGGTTTCATATGTTCCAAAGGTTCCCTTGAATCTCTAATGTAGGCTTTGAACAACAAATGAATAATTAAAAAAGAATTTTGGTGAATTTATTGGCGAATAAGGTAAATTTAATTGAATTACAAATGATTTATCTAAATACCAAATTGTTAAACCAAATATATAATTAAATATGTTTATATATTAGAAATATAATAACTTCCAATATATTGTTATTCTTTGTATTGTAAAGTATGTATTGGTATTAACCTGTACTTATAAGGTGAGCAAAACAGAAATAAAAATAAGATGAATTACAGAGAAAATAAAATAATTCGAGTTCACACAAATTATTGTGTATCTTTAAGAAATTTAATTCCCTCATTGTACCTGAGATTGTGTATTAATTTCTCCTAAGATAAAATGGATTAATCATGTTAAAGAAATAGCGGTACCTCAAATTTCTTTAACTTCAACAAACAAAAGAACATCAACAAGTCACACAGACTCAGTAGATCGACACTTTGATTTTGAGAGAAAATATATGCAGATAGGGTTGGGCGTTCGATCAGTTCGATTCGATTCGTAAATATCAGTTACATTTTTCATTTTTAAATTTGGCCAAATGTGAAACAAAACCAAACTTAAATAAATTCGGTTTGGTTCGGTTATTATAATTTTTATTTTGTTTGGTTTCGGTTTAATTAAATTTGATACAAACTTAGCAGGACTCAAACAACTATTAATGAAAGACTCTAAATACCCACAAAGAGCAGAACTTCTACACATATTTTCCGTTTTGACTGAGGGGGTTATTATACAACTTTGCCACAACTTTTAACTATTTAATAAAAGATTGGTTCAAGGTAAGAACATATATGCTCAATACTATCACAGACGATACAATCGTGAAGTCTTAATAGTTCATCCACTGATCCATGAGAGTTACATTAGTCCAATTGAAATTAGACAAGTTAAACAAGGCTACACACATTTAATATGACATCTACAATCAACTGCAAATAACGATAAATTTTTTTATTGAGGTTTACTTATAACTTTAACATATAATAACAGTCAAAGATGAAGTTTTTGAAGGCAACAAATCAAATGCGGTTGAAAATATTGGCTAGCACAATTTCTGAAATGTTTGCACTTGTATGCCTTTGTCATTTACCACCAAATACCTGTATAAAATGATGAGCAGTTTGCATCAGAACATAGGCAAGTCTTTTATTTACCTTTTTCACCAGAGAAGGAAATTGGGGTAATGGAACTTACTCCGGCGACGAATGACAACTGACAAGAGCTGGGAGTTGAGAGATGAATAACGAGTCGAGTCGGCATCGGCGACCAGTGTATCTGTAATCTTCGTTAATAAGAGACGAGATTCGGCCTCGGTGTCAACGTATGTAAATATATAATGTTATAAATTTAGGGATTTATCATCAATTGATAGGAAATTAGAAATTTGGCCGACTAGGAAAGAGTAATTAGGCTAGAAATTTGGGTAGTTTGGCTGAGACATAGGAATTTGGGTAGTTAGGTTTGCTAATAATAGTTTGTGGGCTAGTGAGATAGGCCGACTGGAATGGGTAACATCTATAAATATACACAATTTTTGTTTTTCCATTAACCAAATTTTTAAATCTAAAGAAAACCAAACCGGAAAATTCAAACATTATAATTCAAAGCCGAAACCAACCGAAAAACTGAAATCAATATTTTAAAAAAATGATTCGGTTGGTTTTTTCGGTTTTAACCATATTATGCCCAACCCTATATGCAGAGAAGGAAAAAAATTTTAGTGTTCGAAAAAATGAATAATGACTTCTTTATATAGCCATTTTCAGCAAGAAAAGTTTCTGTTCGGAGAAATCTCTTCAGACCTGCTTTGTTAAAAATGTTGTGTCTTTTGGAAAAAATAACAAATTTTTGAAAAATGTATCTGTTGGGAATGTAACAACTTTTCAGAAAGAATAACGACTTTCCAAAATGTCACGACCCAAAAATGGGCGTGATGGCACTCGTCTTATCCCACCAAGACAAGTCAGCCTAAAACCAAATATCTAACAAAGTGCGGAAGTAAATGACAATCCAACAACAATTTCTAGTATGAAACCAAGTCATATTAATTCAATCCCCAAAATCAGGTTGTCACGTGCACAAGCCTCTAATGTAAACATCAGAATTGAAACAAAATAGAAGTCTAAAATGAAGTTGTCTTTCAAGTAAAAACAAAATCATAAACTGGAGTAGGAAAGTTCGCTGAGATGACAAACAGCTACCTCACAATCCTCCACAAGATGCCTCAAAAACGAAGAGAATAGAAGGTATCACAAAGATCCAGGCTCGTAACCTACAAAAATTTGTAGAAGCAAGGGGTGAGTACCAAACCACGCGGTACCCAACAAGCAAACCTCTAAACACAAGTTAAGTGAACAAAATACGTGTACTCCTTACACCCTATCTAAACCTCCACGCTACAGCCTAACAGTTTACCAAATACACCACTCAATAACCACACTCTATCAGTTTACACATTCTCTATAACAACTCAATATTCAACAATCACAGACTTCACAGAGAAACAATCACAAGATCATCAAAACACATGTTCAAGTTCATCAATAATAAAATGTGCAATGCCATGAGATGCAATGTCAAATATCGTGATGCATGTCTTTCCTAACGATACACACCCGTTGTCTCTTAGTCTGGGACCCATGAAATATAATATCCATCACGGCGCGCGATACGACCCTCGAAAATAGTACATCATCCTCTTACCACAACCATGTCTCAGATACAATGCAAATGACATGCTCAAATGAAAAGGGGGAGATAACCATTTGATAACGAAGCACAATTTACAACAAGAAATACAACACCAACAAATAAACATCAAGTCTCCAAATCATTCTCAACATCACACAAGGAAATACACGAATTTCGTACGCTTAACAAGAGTTTAGAAATCCACTTGCCTCAAGTAGTCGAACAATCACTTCGGAACTTGAATCTTCCCCTTTCTTTGAAGTTCCAATTCAAAGCAATCTATTCAAATAATTGTCCATAATAAGATTTCAAGACGAAAAGATATCTACATCACTTTTTCTCTAGTCTAGACTCTAAACTCACTCAAAAACTTACTCGAGTATACAATCAAGCTCCTAATGTTAAGGTCAATTGATATTTCAATTATCAAAATTCCAAGTTTCAAGCCTAGGGTCATGTTTTAATTATTATTATTATTTTTATTTTTTATAAGCCAAGTTGAAACAAATATGTCTTTTGACTTCTAAATGATGAAAAGCAATTCGGGCAACAGTAAGCTTCAGATAAAATCTTGAACCATACAAATGTTCCGTCACAATACCATACTGTATCCTATTTGTAATATCCAAACTCTTATTTCGTAAGGATTAATTCTAAACTAAAGGCAATTGCTGCCAAATCATCACTACAGTAAAGGCAAAAAAAAACAAAAATTGGTATAAAGTTAAGTGTAAAGAGTAATTGGTATATGACACCTATTTAGCCTACAACCTTATGGACAAATCATTCCCCTCCCATTTTAATATAATATTAGTTTCAGGCATTCATATATATGTATAAATTATTGAATAACATGTAGACTTGATGAAATTACCTGTAGCAGTTCGCAAGATGCCGAAACCCTTCCTCTGTTCCGTCTTTCTCCTTCCTTCTTTTCCATTTATGAATTAATTAAGTACTAATTGTGACAGGTTTTACCCACATATTTAATTAAATATAGTCTTAATGGTATAGGGTCTTAAATAAATTATCACTTTAGCTCATAAACTATCGATTAATTAACTCAAGATACACTAATATTTAAAATTTCCAAAAATGACCTTCCGGGTCATTACATTATCCATCACTAAAAATCATGTTCGTCCTCGAACATAAAGTAAAAGAAAGTACCTGATGCTTCAAAAAGTTGAGGATATCTTGCACGCATGTCAGACTCAGTTTCCCAAGTTGCCTCTCTCACCGATCGGTGCTTCCACTGCACCTTAACTGTAGCAATCTCCTTGGTTCTAAGCTTTCGAACCTGCCTATCCAAAATAGCTATAGGTTCCTCTTCAAATGTCAAGTCTGGACCCAACTCCACATAATCAAGTGAAATCACATCAGATTCATCCGGAATATACTTCCAAAGCATAGAGACATGGAAAACAGGATGAACTGCCGACAAACTAGGTGGCAAGGCCAACTTATAGGCCACCTCTCCCACTCGGCTCAAAATCTCAAAAGTTCCAATGAACCTAGGGCTAAGCTTGCCCTTCTTTCCAAAACTCATCACACCCTTCATGGGTGATACTCGGAGCCAAACATGATCACCCTCCATAAACACCAAGGCTCTAACTCTCCGATCTGTAAAACTCTTCTGTCGACTCTGAGCTGTCAATAATCTATATGGAATCGTACGGACTTGCTCCATAGCATCTCTAAGCAAGTCTGTATCCAAAGAGTCCATCTCTGCCGAATCAAACCAACCAATCGGAGTCCTACACTGTCTTCCATACAACGCCTTAAATGGGGCCATCTGGATACTAGAGTGATAACTATTTATAGGCAAACTCCGCTAATGGTAAATGTTGATCCCATCTAGCACCAAAATCGATCACACACGCTCGAAGCATATCTTCCAATACCTGAATGGTCCGCTAAGATTGACCATCTGTTTGAGGGTGAAATGCCGTACTCATATCTAACTGAGTACCCAGACCATGTTGTAATGCCTTCCTTAAGTGAGAAGTAAATAGTGAACCTCGATCTGATATGATAGAAATAGTAACTCCATGTAGTCGCACAATCTGACTGATATAGAGTTCGGCTAACATTTCTGCTGTATACTTTACCCGAACCGGGATGAAGTGGGCAGACATGGTCATCCTATCAACAACAACCCAAATAGAGTCATAACCACCCACTGTGGTAGGCAAACTCACAACAAAGTTCATAGTAATCCTCTCCCACTTCCAAGTAGGAATAGGCATCCTCTGAGATACACCCCCGGGCCGCTAGCGCTCACACTTGACCTGCTTGCAAGTCAAACACCTCGAAACAAAGTCTGAAATATCTCTCTTCATCCCACACCACCAGTAATGCTGACTCAGATCATGATACATCTTCGCCGCTCCCGGATGGATGGAATACCGAGAACAATGGGCCTCCTGAAGAATCAATCTAATCAAATCGCTTGTCCTGGGCACACAAATTCTGCCTCCAATCCGCAAGACACCATCAGAATCAAGGACAGCCTCCTTAGCTTCCCCTCTCAATACTTTGTCTCGAATGAGACATAATTTTTCATCATCATACTGGTGTGCACGAATTTGCTCGACTAAAGAAGATCGAGCCTCAATAAAAGCAATCATCCCATCACTCTCTTCTGAAATCTGCAAGCGGACAAGACTGTTAGCTAATATCTGCACATCTCTAGCCAATGGTCTCTCCTAAATAC